AATGTGGCTAATTTAATTTCTATTTTCATTTCAACTGGACAAAGTTGAAAGAAAGGTCATTTTAACCATTTTTTAAGAGTTAAAGAGTTAAAAAAGAAAATTTTGAAACCATGGGACATAATTGAAACTTTATATGTCCATGTGTACCTCAATTCTTACAACTTAGCCACATCACAATTTCATTTTTGTTTTAACGTAAAAAGTAGAATAAGAGTGTTGTTTTGAAACAATTTTAAAGATTGAGGGTAGAAATGTAACTTTGGAAATGATAAAGCATAGTTCAAACATATCATAAAATTCRGGGGTATTTCGTATAATTTAACCAATTTAAACCATAAATTATGGCTTGTATCCAAAGACATGGCCGAAATGGATGTTTTTATGTCAGCAAAAAAAATCCAAACTCATGGAATTGTTGATCTTGTAGCGGTTGAATAAAAAATAGTAGGGATTTCAAGTAAAAATCCAAAATTTGATATTTATCTTCTTGGGGGGTTAATATAATATTTTCTATTACTATTAATACTATTAATATATAATGTAGAAGTAATTCATATAAACAAATTACATAAAATTAACAATTTGGTCTTTATTTTTTAGGTTATGGGTCTAAAATTTTCAATTTAATAGGTATGGTTTTGACCTAGTTTCAATTTGATSTTTGTAGTACTAAAAATTTCAAATTAGTCAATATGATTGGATGAAGCCTAAAAAATCGTTAGTAAACTATTTTTTATCCACTAAAAAATGCACTCATTTTTCTCTATTTATAACTCATATGTAAGTGCAAATAGCTAAAACAACTCAATTAGAAAACACGATTTCTATAAATAAAAAGCKTGTTATGTATTTAATACGACAATAATAACGAAAACTTGTGAGCTTTGACAAGATCATAGAGACARAATCATATCTTACGACGATATCAGTCAAATTGAAATTAAACTCACGTAATTTAGAAACTTTGTGAAACTATGGAATAGAAAAAAAATAATTTCTTTTTTTTTTTCGTGAAACTTTATATTTAAAGRTCCTGATATGAATCGAGATCATCATTATCAAAATCTGAAATTGTGGAAAAAAGAAATAGAAAAAAATAATAATAGAAAGAGATATAAGAAAATAAGAGTTTTATTTCATTCTCCGTATGAAAAATTGGTTCTATCATTTTATGGTGGATCTACGAATTATTGGGCCAAGCTGAAATTGAACCAGTGTAGTTAATCGAGATTTCTCTATGAACAACGTATTAGAGTTTAACAACTAATTACTGTTTTAGTTAGTTTTTATCACAGTTAGATATTTTTTATTATGTTTGTTAGWCACATTTTATTTGTGACCGATTATTTAAGGAAGGTAAACATAATTAATGGGAAGGTTGGAGAGATGAGATTTTGTAGCAGTTAGTTTTAAGAGCTTTAATCACACTAAATTTTTATGATAACAAACTTCATTTATCCATAATTTTAGTGTTTCAAAGTATCCAAAGCATAGAGTTTGGAAAGACGATTCCAACACATCTTGAATTACACGAATCAGAGTCCAAACGAAGATGTTATTAAAAAAAAAGTTTGAAGAGAAAAGACACATGTGGCAGGTGACATGACATGTAACAGTCAAATTATGGTATGACAGATGGTGGACAACGTGGATGAATCATGTGGGGACATGTGSCACATTAAAATATGAAGGAATCAACATTATTTATCCAATTTATCTAAATCTCTACCAATCTCTCAATCTCTGTAATTTCCCTGGATCATTTGTTGCTTTAAATCCAATGATCAAAATTCATCCTCGAAATTCTATATAAAGCCACTAACTTTATTCTCCTCCATACAAGTTCATCAAGCAAAAACTAGGTTTCTCTTCTTCAGTTTTTGCTCTCCAAATCTCTAAATTCTCATTCTCTCATATATCAAAATTTGCTGATTTATGTTATTGTGAGAAATACATTAAAGGGCAGCTTAGTCTATGATTTTTAGTGAAATTTGTATAATTCACCTTTGTGAGATATTTATTTGTATTATTTATTTTACTTCATTTTGGATTTTGTATTAAGGTGTGATGCACTTTGGGATTATCAGAATGGTCTGATCTTGAACCAGTGGGAAGAGTCGTAGTGGTTTGATCTTGAACCAGTGAAAAAGATTGGTGTAGGTTGAATCCTGAACCTGCAAAGTGATCAATAGGATATGTACTCTTGAACCCTTAAAAGAATGAACGATCGGGTTGGTTCTCACCTGCAAGAGAGCAGACACAGTAAAATACTAAAGAATGAGTGTTGGGGAGTGGACTAGAAATTTCCGAACCACTATAAAAAATTTTGGTGTCATTTCTTATCCCTTACTCTTTTTACTTTCTACATTTAAATTTTGTTTGATATTTTCTTATTCTTGAATTTTGATTTTAAAATCTAAAAGTTCGTAAGTGATAAGTCTCTCAAAGAGAGTTATTGTGGTGTTATATTGCACTAAATTGAATGTAGATGAGAGAGTTCTAGTTATAAAAGTTCATCAAAATGAAGAATTAATTGAGAAATAGAAAAGTCACATTTGAATTCCTTGCTTTACTMATTTTGAAATTTTTTTAGCTTATCTCTGCTATTTTTTGGTTCTCTTCGCATAATCCAAAAGTAGTGAATGCAAAGTTGTAGAGGCATTAGGAATTGCTAGAGCTTTCAAATGCTAGAGTGCTCAATGCTGGAGAATAGCTTGCAACAAACCTATTTGGACAATGCAGTAACTTTTCAAGTTCATGCGACAATCACCCAGTACAATTACTGTGGGTTGCCATAAAATCGAGGAGCGATATAAAAGTTCAAGAGGTTCCAACTGCCAAATYGAATCACAATGAGGAATACTGTCCGAAAGAGCGAAAAGATAGAGAAGGGGAATATACCATTTCGAAGAGGAGAGGTCTTTTTTATATTTCTTCAGCTTTCATGGAAATGGGTTGTTCCTCTCTTACCATTGTATTTTTCTCTAGTTGTTTTTATTCTTTCATCTCGAAGGTTTGCTCTTGGAGGTTTGCTCTCGTATGACTTGAAAGGATATACGASATTCATGTCGCACTCTATTTGTCATCAGTCTACTCTTTTTTAGTAGGTCGTRAATGCACTACAAGAATTGAGGTTTTTCCGACGAAAACAAAAAGTCGGGAAAAGCTGAAAAACGTCAGAAAAAGTTTTTCCGATGTTTTTTTCGTCGGGAAAAAGGTCGGGAGAAGCCCGTTGGGAGAGCCCCTCCCGACGAATTGTTTTAAAAATGTTAGGATTTTTCCCGACGCTTTACAGAACGTCGGCTTTAAAAACGTCGGGAAAGACTTCTTTTCCCAACACTTTTATAAAAACTTCGGGAAAWGTATTTTTTTAATTTTTAAAAATACATATTTTACATTTACTCGGAGTAAATGTAAAATATGTATATTAAGCACATTCCACAGCCTACAAGATAACAAACTAAAGGAATAAATCACTAACTACGTACGTTGAAGAAAATTTCAAACTCAACCAGTGATCCATCTTAATATGCACTAACGGAAGAACTTTGCAACACCATTGATATTGGAATCCATTTAAAGACATTAAAAGCCTTCATCAAAGAGCACAAATATTTCAACATATATTTTATTTTTCCAATAAGAAACTAGAGATATATACAATAATAGATTTCATTCATATTCTATTTACTTGATCTATTAATTCTGACCCAACGCCAATATGATTACAAATAATTTACATCAACCCATAATGAATAAAAGAGCATGGAGTCTTGGGCACCTTGAAATCACCTTTACTTCAATTATAAATTCTTTGTACCCTTGATGAGAGACTTTCGAAAGTCTCTTTATTGCTATTTCCTCTTCATTTATTAATTTTCCCTGAAAACAAAATATATTTTCTTGAACTATATGTGCTCCCAATTAATTGAAAGAAAGAAAAAATATATATTGGTAAACACTATTAATTACCTTATATACCAAATCAAAGCCGCTCTACCCAAGCTTGTTACTTAGATCAAAGTTGCTGCAATTTCCGGCATTTCAAAATCATAAAGAGGCAACTCTTCAAGTTCAATATCATCCCCCGAAATCTTTACTTTTTGCTGGATGTCATTCTTTTCTGCTATAAAAACTCAAATTTTACTTTTATATGACTATTTTATCCGTGAGTAAAATGGTAAAGAAATTAAATGATCAAGTGTATGTTTAATTACCATGCTTACGAGACTTCAATCTCCACCAAAAGTATACGGCATTGATAATGTAGATGATGAGCGTTCCTGGTAGAACTATGGCTAAAATAATTCCGTTCTTGACTTTTACATGAGCATTATCTGTGTTTATGAAAATAATATCAAAGAGATTTAGGTGGAAAAACAATATACATAATTTATATAATGAAAAAATTGC